AAAAAACGTATTGACACTTGTAGGGATCAAAGTGGTTACAATTAGAGTTCTTCTATAAAATGGAACTTTTGATAATGCCTTATTTCCTGTTTGACGAGTCGACATAATCAAAATAGCAACAATCCTTCAGTCAGGAATAGAGTTCCCCATTCGCGAGCTTCTTTTAGCGATCATTTTACTTCACTTTAGCATCTTTCATTATCTATTCTCTTAGGCCCTAATCAAGTTCACTCGGCTCTTTTTAGCATACAAACTGTCTGCTCTAAATTGCTATCCTGTCCCCGCGATTGTTTGCATCCGACATTTTTTTTCATTTGATCTTTTCGCTCATTATGGTGATACGACTTGTTCATATCAATCATTTATTACTTCTTACTTAAAGATACACTTCTCCACAAGTTTCTGATATGGCTGCATGCTCCCTAAAATCACTTAATTAGACAATTTATTACCCGCTTAAGCATAATTTATGAATGGATAGCTAAGTTAACCTCGTAGACATAAAATTACTTCACCCTTAGTACCTCGAAAATGATATGTCTCGCCTTTATTTGTCTATGTAAGTAATTGGCGAAATTTTCATAGCAGCTTTTGGAAATGTTCTAGTTTCTGGATTAATTTGCAATATGCTTTACAAATATTATGAGATTCAAATTAATCATATTATTTCCCTGTCCAAAATTAGTTTTTTCGATTATTTTTCTTTCGAATAAATGTGAAATAATTTCATCTTCAATTAACATTAATCACCACAAAGTCATTTTTATTTTTTATACACATTTTATCTTCGCATGTAAGTAATTAGCAAATTTTATCATTCACTCAATGTAATTTATATTTTTAAATGTTTTCAATGAACTTTTACCAGATTCGTCTCAAATTTATATTCTTTTTTCAGATTTTCCCAAACCCAATAGGAGAAGAATGGAGCTCTCTTCATGTCTACCGTGCCAGCTTAGACTCTGAATTGGCAGAGTCCTCTGGTGCAGCTGTATCAACCACTGTTGCTGCAGCTGAATCCCATCGCGATGACCCTACCACCGCAGTTTTGACTACTAGTACCTCAGGGCAGGCGGCGTCTGGACATGTTACTAATCATCACCATGGTCATCAGAACCATACCAGTCATACTGGAAGAGGGCGACCGAAAAAAGTCCGCGAATCAGAGACTTCCAATGCAACGGGTAAGTATTCCTCATGGTTGCTTGGAGTTCACACCATATTTTTCCCCTGAATTTCATGTTTTTATTTCTTACAAGAGTGCTTTCTATATTTAATTAGAATCCAGAAGACTTTATACATTTGACATGAAATCATGCTATAGTTATAGTGTCCCGATTATAATTACTT